GACGTGCTGTGAGCACAAGACACATGAGGTTCTGAAGCCTTAGCACAAGAAAAGAATGTAAAATGTCTCAAGCAAAATTTTTGTATCCTGAAGTGATAATACTTGGGTTATGTTGAGTTAAATGTATTATTAAAATTATCTTGTTTCTTTTTTTGACACGGCTGCTAGAAATTTTGAAAATGCACCTGTGGTTTGCATTCTGTTTCTTGTGGGTTGTGTTGGTTGCCCCTGCACAGAGGCTGGTATGTAGTAGGTGCCCAATAAATGCTCTGTGCCCTCACAGCCCGATAAAGGCAAGGTTGGGGCTTGGGTCTGTTCATGGCACAGTGGTGATCTGGGGGATGTTTTGTGAGCAGAATGTGGGTACGGGGTGACTTTTGATTTCAAAAGATCATTTGCTTCTTGTGCAGAAAATGGGCTGCAGGGGAAGAAGGGACGTGAGTGAATTTGAGGGCAGTGATATTCCTTCAGTGATCAAAGAAGGAGCTAGTAATGGATTCAGGAAGAGGCGGAGGGGGCTGAGAGAGGGAAGAGCCAGGGCTCTCGGTGGGGACACCTGCCCCCACCCCCACCCGGTTGCTGCTGTAAACAATGTCAGCTCCATCCTGCACACTGCAGAGACTTCTTCCTTTGGGGCTTTGAAAACTAAGGAGGCAGGCTTGGAGGCCACACAGTTTTTGGGAACTCACAGTTCCCAAATTGAGCTCTTGATCCTCTCCTAACCTCCCCCTCCCCTCCATGTTCCCCCCTAGTTACCGGCCCCAATACCTCCGGTTCCCACATCCCCACATCAAATGTGTCGCAAACCCTGTTACTTTTAGGGGGGGTTTTTTGTTTTTTGTTTTTTTTACTTTTAGTTTTAAAATAGGTCCAGGACCCACCTGGTTCTCACCTCCTCCTCCACCACCGTCCTGATGGAGCCCAGCGTGCCCCCATCTCCCCCCCCAGCCCCCTCCCCTGAGCCCCCGTCTCCCGGGGCCGCCCACGGTGTTTCCCCGCGGCCGCCAGAGGGCGCCGGCGAGCACCGGGTCGGGCAGGTCCCAGCTCCGCCCGCAGCCCTCCAGGCCTCCCCGGGGACCCTGCGCGGGGCCTCCCCCGGGACCCTGCGCGGGGCCTCCCCCGGGGACCCTGCGCGGGGCCTCCCCCGGGACCCTGCGCGACCTGCTCCCCGTCTCCCCATCACTCATTCTGCTCCACCCACCGCGGGCCTCCTCGCGGTTCCTCCAGGCCGCTGGGTACACTTGGGGCTCAGGACCTTTGTACCGGCTGTGCCCTCTGCCTGTTGTGCCTTCTCCACAGACCACCGTCGCCTCCTTCCGGTCTCTGCCCGATTGTCACCGTCTCAGCGGCTTCCCCTGGCCACTCCGTGTCAAACTGCAAACTCCTCACACCTCCAACCCCTCCTTACCCTTGATTTTTTAAATATTAAAAAAATAAAAAAAAAATGTTTTATTTATTTCTGAGAGAGAGACAGTGCAAGCAGGGGAGGGACAGAGAGAGAGGGAGACACAGAATCCGAAGCAGCTCCAGGCTCCGAGCTGTCAGCACAGAGCCCGACGCGGGGCTCGAACCCACGAACCGCGAGATCGTGACCTGAGCCCAAGTCCAACGCCCAACCGACTGAGCCCCCCGGGCCCCCCACCCTTGGATTTCCTCCCCGCACTGCTCTGCCTTCTAAAGGAACGCAGATTCCCTTGCTTCTCTCAACAAGAGGGTGAGGAGGGGAGTTCGTGTGTTTTGTTCAGACCTCTCTCCGCAGCGCTGAGCAGTGCCCGGCAGGCAGTGGGCCCTCCGAGAGCTGAGGGCCCTGACCCCAGCCCGGGCCCTGCAGCCTCCTTGGGGGCCCCGCCCGCGGCCCCTGCGAGCCGCCCACGCGTGCCCCCTCCCAGTCTGGGCTTCCTTCTTCCAGTTTGCTGATTTGCTCTTTTCTGTCTGTGAATCGGATTGGATTTGTAACATGGCTTGTTTGCATGGGTTTAGACTTAATTAGCCTCTCATTTACATGCTATTACCTGGCAGTTGTGAGGGGCTCTGAGCTGAAAGTGAGCTGACAGCGAGGAGCTCGTGTGGTCAGCGGGGGGGGACCGGCTGGGGGTACCTAAGCTCAGTCTGGTGATGTTGCTGGACCTTGAGGCCCCCCAAAACCTCCCTTCCCATATCACTATGGGGAAACTGAGGCAGCGGGGACTGAGTCCCAGCTGGAACCCGGAGGAAGAACTGTCCTCTGGCTGGGACCCCGTTCTTTCTGTCCCTGGCCCAGGGTCCTTGAGGCTGACCGCAGTGGCCGTATCTTGCGCTTCCGGCCAGTTTGGGTCAATGGGAGACCCTGCCTGGAGGAGAGGAGGAGGTGGGGACGTGTATTTATCTTTGCGGTTTGCGCCCCAGGTGGAGGGCGCCCAGGTGAGCGCCTGAGGCGGGCACTGGCTCGAGTGGCCTCAGGCAGGGACTGGGAGGTTGATAGTGTGGGCAAAGGAGGGCGGGCGAGGATGGAAAGGTGGGAGGGAGGGCAGAGTGGGCAAGACCGGGCCCCATGGGGCCTTGAGTGCCAGGGAGGGCTTGCGTTCTGTCATCGCGGCTGCAGGAGCCCCAGCAACCCAGAGCGCTGAACGAGGACCGCAGCCCAGGAGGAGATCTGGACCCTGGAGCCAAAATCTGAGTCAGAGTCCTGGAGGCGGCTCCTGACTCTGCTGATGAGTTACTCGCGGACCTAAGCTCTGAGCCTCAGTTTCCCCACCTGTAACCACAGCTGAGATTTTGGCAACAGCGTTGCCCTCAGCGAGATGCTGAGATAATTAAACAACGCAAGGCGCGTTAAGTGCCTGAGCACATGGGAACTTTCTGGTGGCTTCACACAGACCGTATTATCCTTTAATGTGTGTGGGTCTGTAGTCATGTCTCTCTTCCATTTTTTAATAGTTTATTTATTTTGAGAGAGAGCGTGCGTGCACACACATGCGGGAGTGGGAGAGGGGCAGAGTGGGGGACAGAGAACCCGCAGCAGGCTCTGCTGACTGTGAGGGGCTGGGAGCAGAGCGCAGCCTCGCCAATTGTGGGATCACGACCTGAGCCGAAATGGAGTCCAGCGCTTAACAGACTGAGCCCCCCAGGCGCCCCCTTTTCTGTTCCTGATAACGGTAACAGATGTTCTTTCTCACTGGTTTTGGTCATTCTAGCTCAAGCTTTATCACATTTGTTGGTCTTATTTATTTATTTAAAATAAAAAAAATGTTTTGTTTATTTTTGAGAGAAAGAGAGAGAGAGAGTGTGAGCAGGGGAGGGTCAGAGAGGGAGGGAGACAGAGAATCCAAAGCAGCTCCAGCCCCTGAGCTGTCAGCACAGAGCCCGACGCGGGGCTCGAACCCACGAACTGGGAGATCGTGACCTGAGCCGAAGTCGGACGCTTAACCGACCGAGCCCCCAGGCGCCCCTGGAAGATCCGGCTTTGGGGAGAGGGGCTTTGTTGTTTCTTTCTACGGTTTTCTGTTTCATGCATTTCTACTGTTGATCGCCACCCTTCCACTTCTCCTTTTCTAACTTCTTAAGGTGGGACCTGAGGTCATTGATTTCAAGATCTTTCTTCCTCCTCCCCCCACCCCCGTTTTCTAATATAAGCATTTCAGACTCATAAACATTTTGATTACAAAGTTGAAAAATTAGGGGACGCCTGGGTACCTCAGTCGGTTAAGTGTCTGACTTTTGGTTTCGGCTCAGGTCATGATCTCACGACTTTGTGGGTTCGAGCCCCGCGTCGGGCTCTGTGCTGACAGCTCGGAGCCTGGAGCTGCTTCGTATTCTGTGTCTCCCTCTCTCTCTGACCCTCCCCTGCTCACGCTGTCTCTCTCTCTCTCAGGAATAAATAAAACATTTTAAAAAATTATAGAATGCATTAAAATTACACTGAGGAATGAATTGCATTGTATGTAAACTATGACTCAATAAAGCTGTTAAAAATTCCAGTCCAAAATGGCCCAACCACACAGCAAGATGCATGGAAGAGACAGGGATTTGGACTCTGCTCTGCCAAGTTTCCCTCAGCCTCTTCTTAGGGCCTGACCCAGTGGCAGCCCTCAGTGCAGGCAGGGAAGTAAACTCTCATTTTGGGAGAAAAATCTCTGTTGGCTTCTGGGAGGCAGTGGGCTGTCTGGCAGGACCGCCATCACCTCCCTGCCATCTCTGCTTCTGTCCCGGGGCCTTTGCACAGACATTCCCTTATCACGAGATGCTCTTCTTTCACCTTCTCAGTTCAGTGACCCTCCTCCTGCCCGACACTTGGCCTGCGCCTGGGCTCCCAGCCTGGCTCTGTTCTCTAGCACGTTTAGTGCCTTCTTATATGCTCTGTGCTCATTTATTAAGTTATTGTTTATCTCCTCTGTGCCCTTCTGAGAACACCACCTCCTTGTCTATCTATTGCTGTTGTGTCCCCACCAACACAAACGGAACCTGTACGCAGTAGGTGCTCAATAAATGCTTATTGGATGACGGGAAAAAAGAAGGAAGGAAGGAAGGAATGCAGGCAGACAGGTAGACTGGCTTCTTGGCCTAAAGTTGCAACCCCCAGAGTGGCGAACTCACTGTCTGGCCTTGGGCCGCATCTCAGTTTCCCCAGCTATAGAAATGGGGCCACACCGCCCCTGACCTCACCGGTCCCTTCTGCTACATGGCTGGAGGTGTTGTGTTTGTGGCTCTGGCTCCCTGGAGCCTTCTCTGGCCCCGGCTGCCCAGCTTGGCGGCTCCCCGGGGACCCACTCTGCTGACACCGGATTCTTTCCTGGACCATCCAGCCACCGGGCGACACTCGATCCTGGCCCCACTTCCAGGCCAACGTCCGCCGACCAGCCCGCTAGGGCCGGGCCCCAAGGCTCTGTGCTGCGGGACAAGGGGCTGTCTGTGCCACCCAGAGGGTGTGGTGAGGCCGGGCTCTGCCAACACCAGCACAGGCTGCAGGGACTGACGGCACCTGACCCGCGGCCCGGAGCCGCTGCAGCTGAGGAGAACACAGCAGCGTGCTCCGTGCAGCCACCTTGCCTGCTCGCCATGGGGACGCTCCGCGGCACCCCTGCGCCACGGCCGCCGGCCGAGTGCCCGAGTGCTCAGAGCGGCTTGCGGAAGCCCTGCGGGACAGCCACCGTGGAGAACGGTACGCGTCGCTATGGAGGGGGAGGCCGCGGCGGTGGGTCCTGCTCTATTCTCCCCAGCTGCGCTGGGGCTTCTGGAATATTCTGGGAGCCACCTGGAGGCGGGAGGCTCTGACGAGTCCCTGCTCCTCCCCAAACCTCAGCGTTCTCCCCAGCAGGATGGGTGTGAACATAGCATTTCTGTTGGCTCTTGTGGATTCCGCCACCCGGCAAGAAGTGTGCATTTTATGGGCCGGGCACCCTTGCAGGTGCTGATGCTACAGAGCAGCAAAGGTGTGTGTGGCGTATTAGTGATAGGTGCCTTCGGCAGCACAGAGCGGCAGGGAGAGAACGGGCGAGTGTGGGGGCTGAAGGCCCGGACGCTCCGCAGGGGCCGCGGGCATCCTCTCAGAGAGGACATCCCGGCTCTGATGCTGTGCATTCTCAGCGAGGGCCAAGCCTGCGGCCTCATTATCTGTGTGAAACGAGGTAACAGGGGTCGGGCTCCATGGCGCTGACGTTCTTGCTGAGGCCACCGAACACTGCAGTTGTGACAGTGCGTTTCTGTGTCGGGGCCTCAGTTTCCCCGACGTGACAGTGTGTCTCTGTGTCTGGGCCTGCAGCCCCTCCTACCTGTGACTCAGGTTTGACTCACAATGCCCCTCACTCACTTTGCCCCCTGGAGGAACATCCGCCCCTCCCCCGCCTCCACCTGCCACGGAGGGTGGTTGGGAGTCCAGGCGGGGGCTCAGGGGCTGGTCCCCCGCTTCCCCCCATCTCTCAGGGGGTCAAGCCCCGGGCTGTGACCTGAAGCTTTGGTTGCAGGCTCTGGGCCAGGCTTGTACGTCCTGCCGTCCGCCGTGGGCTATGTCAAGCACGACTGCACCAGGCCCGCCGGGCCAGCCTACTCACTTTTCTGGAGGCCCAGCCCCGGTAAGGCCGCCAGGGGGAGGGGCGGGGTGGGGTGGGGGCGGGGTGGGGCCCCCCAAGCCTCCCGTGTCGGCTCAGGCCCCTGAGTGAGACAGGAAGCGCGCTGGGGGAGCGAGGGGGAGCTGCTGGGTCCTCGTAAACAGAGGCAGCAGGCGTGGGGCTTAGGGCCCCGAGTCCATCTTCTGGGCCTTGCGGAACCCTTGCTGCTCGACTTCAGACAAGCGGCCTAACCGCTCTGTGCCCAGTTTCCTTCTCTGCAGTGACGACATGCTCCTTACAGAGCTGTCCTCAGGGCAGATAAGCATTAGATGCTTGGAAACATCCATCACAAGCAGCTGCCGCAGTGCCGGGCATCCAGACGGTGCTCAGTAGAAGTGGGCGTGGAGGGGCCCGAACTCCGGTTTCCGCCGAGGCTCCTCACGGGTGGCTGTGGAGACGACAGGGCGAGAGCCCTGCTGTGTGGACAGGCGGCAGGTGGTGACCTGGTCAGCGGGGTCCTCACCTCTGTGCTGCGCACCTTTCTCCCGGCCAGACGGGTGGCGCCAGGGCCCGAGTGAGCCCCGCAGGCGTCAGTGCCGCTCCTGTGGGCGCCCTGCCCCCAGCGCGCTGTCCCTTCCTGTCAGCAGTGTCACTGCCACGTGCTCACAAGGCCCCTCACATAAACGCCCACACGTTCCCTCACCCCATTTTCTCGAGCTGCTCTGAAGTCCCAAGTGCCCCGGCTGGGGGAGGGCCCCGCACAAGGACTCTGATTCACCTGGACAAGCACTTGTGGGGGGGGGGCGGCTGATGCCTTCAGAATCAGCAAAAATCCCAAACCGAACTGAAGCCCAACGTGCAGAGCTCCAAGGGTCCTCACACCTGTCTCCAGGAAGGGTTAAGAACTCGCAGGCGGCCCAGGGCAACCTGTGTCCCCAAGTTCTGTCTCTGTCACAGGACACATTCTGGGGCAGAGGGACAGACAGAATGGGGAGTTGAGGGTGAGTGGTGGCCAGTGTAGACGTTGTCGATGCCCAGGGAAGACTTCTTGGAGGAGGCATACGCCCTGGGCTTTGCAGGCTGCGGAGTTCAGTAGAGCCCCAGGAGACGCGACACCCAAGTAGGGCAGCACAGGCAGAGGCGTGAGGTGGGCAGGCGTGAGCTGGGGTGCCCTTCCTTTGTCAGCAAGGTGCTTCCTGCCTGTGTGCGGTGCACACACACAAAGGGCCTGCCAGCCAATTCGTACGGGTCACACATGCTCCCCACGAGGTCCGTGCACGGCTTAGAAGCAGCGGTGACGGCACTCACTGGCCCTAGTGACTGGCCCCAGCGGGGAGGCCCCCGTTCTGGGCTGTTCTCTCTGGACCCTCTCACCTTTCAGTGCCCTCACTCTGCTGGGCGGAGACAGGCTAGGTGCCCGAGGACAAAGCTCCTGGAGGGCTTGCCGAGGCCCCAGGGTCCGACTCGGGGCCCCTCAGGCCACAGGACCACAAGCCCAAGCGTGCAGGGAGCCCTCCAGACAGCCCTCCGCAGAGCCTCGCTACCCTCACTGTACCCACAGTTCTAACCGACCCACGAGCTGGTTCCCTAGTCTGCGGCAGAAGGGGGGTCGAGGGGTGGTGCACAGTGGTCACAAGGGCACTGATGTGCTCACCAGACAAAGTCAAAGCAGAGACCCGGGGCCCCCAGGTCAGGGCACCCGCACCTCGGTGGTCTAAGGTCCCTGCTCTCCAAGATGGGGCTGGGGGTGGGGTTGACCAGGGGCCCTGAGCGGGGTCCATGGGGCCATCAGAGGTGCCCTTAGGTTCCCGGGCTCTACTTTCCAGCATCTCCACAGGACGTCAGCCCTGGGCCAGTCTACTTCCTGGACCCAAAAGTCACCCGGTTTGGCCGAAGCTGCACCCCTGCTTACTCCATGCAGGGCCGGGGCAAGGCTCGGAGTGAGTATCTGGTCAGTGCTGTCCCCCAAGGACTATTCCCTTTCAGGCTTCTGCCTCTGTCCTCTCCTTCCCTTCCCATCAGCAGATTCTTTGGAATGACAGGTCAAGGGGCTCTGAGGAGGGGCTGGGGGCCCTGAGAGAGCCTGAATGAGGAAGTGGGCCTGGGTGACAGCAGCCCTGTGTACATATGGTGCCCAGAGGGCTTTCGGGGCTCATCCTTGGCATCAGGGAATGACAGAGTACAGTGGGTACCGTGGTAAATGTGGCAATCCCCTTCACAGGCTCCACACAACTCACTTCTCCAAACAACTCACTTCCACTTGAAGTGCCTAATTTAATGACTTGATTCCAGTCTCTCATCCACCCACCTTTTTTTCTTTTGACCTATCACCCATTTGCTCATCCACTCACTGGTCAATCAGTTCATCCATCCATCTGTTCACCCATTTATCTACTCACCAACATATCCATGAACCCATCTGTTCATGATCCAGTCCATCTATTGACCCATTGATTCATCCATCCATCCATCCATCCATCCATCCATCCATCCATCCATCCATCCCCCCACCCAATCATTCATCCATCCATCCATCCACCCACCCACCTACCCAATCATCCATCCATCCACTGATCCATCCACCATGATCCCTCATTCACAATCATCAACCCATTTATCCATCCATCTATCCATCCACCCACCCAATCATCCATTATCCATCCAGTCGTCCATACACAATTCAGCTCTCAATCTATCTGTATATCCGCGGATCCATTCATCCACTCATTCACTCCTCATGCAACCACTCACTCCCACCCTTCTACTCACACAACCATTCAAGCATGTATTAAGCTGAGGAGTTGAAGTAGATTTGACATGCCCTTGCTTTTTGTGAGACCACAGTCTGGTGATGGAGTTAGGCCTGTGTGGAGACCATCCCAGCTCACTGTGTCCAGGTCTGGAGGGGAAGACCCAAGCCTGGAGGGCCCTTGGAGGGGCTGTGAGGGCCTGCCTAGGTGAAGGGAGTGGGGAAGGCTTTGGAAAGCTGTCTGAAAGGGTGAGGAGCAGCCCCTGGGAGGTGGGAATGGGAAAATAGAAGGGAAGCCTTGCAGAGGGTTGCGCACGGGCAAAGGCCTGGAGGCTTGAGAGAGAACGGATTGTGTGGGGAGGTCTGGGAAGCAGTGGAGCCCTCTGGGGGCTGCTAAAGAAGCGCTGTGAGCTCCAGGGTGCATGGGGGCGGTGGGAGACCACGCAAGGTCTGTGAGCAGGTGAGGACTCCTATCCACCCTCCTCCCCCATCCTCACAGGTCTGGAGGTGACACCAGGCCCTGGGGCCTACAGCCCAGAGAAGGTGGCCCCTGTGCGCCAGCGGACGCCCCCGGCTTTCACCCTCGGCTCCCGCCTGCGCCCGCAGCTCCAGGACACCTCAGCCCCTGCTCCTAACACCTATACGCTGCCCTCCCTCTGGGGCTCGCAGATATTCGTTAAGCCCAGCAGTCCCAGCTACACAGTGGTGGGCCGCACGCCCCCTGCCCGTCCCCCTCAGGACCCTGCTGAGATCCCAGGCCCAGGCCAGTATGATTGCCCTGACCCCAACACCTACCGTCGGCGCCGGCCTGCCTTCACCATGCTGGGCCGGCCCCGTGCCCCCCGGCCCCCAGAGGAGACCCCTGGCCCTGGCACCCACAGCCCCGAGCAGGTCACCATGACCAAGGCCAGGGCGCCGGCGTTCACCATGGGCATCCGCCACTCCAGACGTGCTGCCACCATGGCTGCGGACACCATGCCCTGACACCTCGGGGTTAGGCCTCCCAGCTGCCCCTGGACCAAGCCTCAGTTTACCTATGTTGTCAGGTGGGGTGTGGGCAGGCACCTCCTGGGCCTGGCTTTGGCTGGGGTGTGCTTGGAGAAGCGGGGAGCAGGCTCATCTTGCCTTCTCTGAGGTCCTTCTAGGCCACCTGCTCCCTTCGGTCCCTGGGGGCTGTGACCCCGTGGCCCCGCGCAGGGTGAGCTTCCTTCCAGTGGCCCAGTTTCTTCCTCCCGGTCACAGCAGGTCAAGTCAGGCCAGGCAGAGAAAAGGACGCCTGCGGCCCGGCCCAGCGGCTGGGCTGGAGCTCTCTGTGTCCCGGAACCTGGGGCCCACCCTGCCAGGGCCTGGGTCCCAGGCACAGTTCACGTCTCCTGTGTCCCCTGGGTCCTCAGCACAGCTCATGTCTCCTGTGTCCTGGAGCCCGGTGTCTGCGCTGCTGGGGCCTGGGTCCCCGGCACAGCTCACACTTCTGCTAAACTTGGGCTCTTCCCCTGCTTCTCACGGATGCACAGTCAGCTGCCTGTCCTGGTCCCATCCCCCAAATCAGGCTGGAAGCTGCCTGATTCTTCTCCCTCTAGCTGCTTGCCAATAAATCTCTGTGGCACAAGAGCTGTCAGAATCATACACAGGAGCTCATTTAACCCACTGGCCATGTCAAAGGAAAGAGACTTAAGTGCTGCCCTTAAGATCCAGACCCCCAGTTCTACAGCTCCTGGGGGCCTGGAGGGACCCGCAGGAGGCATCCAGGGCTAAGTAAGGCCAGAGTTAGAGCCAAGGCTTTGAATGGCGGAAGCCAGGCAGGCTTCTTGGAAGAGGGAACATGGAAGTTGGGTTTTGAAGGATGTATAGGAGTTTCATATATTCTAATATCTATCATCAGGAGGTACCTACCATGTTTCAGGTATTGATCAGGATCATCTAAGCTTCACAGCAACTCAGGGAGCACTGATGTTCACGGAGAGAAAATGGGGCTTTGGGGAGATTGGACACTTGCCTGAGGCCGCACTATGAGTCCTTGTTTCCCTCTGATGCCAGGATCTGAATCCTGGCCATTGGGCTCTGCTCCTGCCATTCTCCCCAAGGGACAGGAAGGAAGCACATGGATGGTGTCATGTGACTGAAGCCCCCTGTGTAAAAAGCCCAGGCCTTATCAACCCTTGACCCAGAAAGACCCTAACCCAGGAGCCTGGGAGGGACCGACTGCGACCAGGGCTCCCCAAGGGGACGGCCCCAGGCAGCACCTCAGGCATGACCCGGAGGGGACCTGACACAGACGACCCCTGCTCTGTCCCTTCCTCCCAGCCTCGGGACGACAAACTTGCACACACACCCCTTTGCCTGACTAGGGGGACACACACACACACACACACACACGCACACCCCTCAGGGGAACCCAGATGCTCTCATCACACGCATGTTCGAACTTGCACACAACATACAAACTCACACCATCCCACATGTATGCAGACAACAACATACACACAAACACAGACTAGTCCAGACGGGGGGGGGGGGGGGGGGGGGGGGGGGGGGGGGGGGGCGCGGCTCCAGACGCAGACGAACGTCACCCCCGTCCACCAGCAGGCCCAGAGGACACGCCCACGGACGCTGGCTCATCCCCGTGAGCCCCGCAGGCTTCGGGCAGCGTCGCCGACCCCCACCCCAGCCCGACGCCGGCCAATCGGCGCGCGTCCCTCCCCGGCTTGGCCTCCTGCGCCACGGGCTGCGCGGCGACCGCCAGTCTGTGATCTCATTTCTCTGATTTATCGATCGGCTCCAGACTGCCTCGCCCCTCCTCCCCCACCTGCCCGCGCGCCCGGCCCCCTCCCTTTGTTTCCCGGCAGCCAGCCCCACCCCAGCCGGGGGAGGGGGGGGAGATCCGTCAGGGGAGGCCAGCTGGCGGGGTCCTGGGGTGACCGTGGCATCCCCGACCCCCGGTACAGGAGGAGTCAAGCATTGACGTCTGGGTGGGGGACAGAGAGGTTGGGGACGGAAGGGCGGTCCCGCCTGCAAGGCCGGGGCCCACGAGTTCAGCGGGGCTGATGCGGGACAGAGCTCCCCAGAAATGGAGGAGGAACCCGTGACCCTCCGGCCGCGCGTCCCCAGCTTACAGCCTCGGACACTGAAGCCCACGGGAAAGCGGCAGAAGAGGGGGATTCGGCTTCGTTCTGAGTCCCCCGCTCCCAGACCCAGCCGGCCCAATCCACACTTCCGAGTGCGAGTGTCCGCTGCGTGCCCCTCTCTGGGTCTCAGTTTCCCCGTCAGGAAACAGGGCAGGGCAGCTGGAATGGTGGTTGGGGTTAGGGTTTGGGGCTCTCTCCTTCTCTGACCGCGACCCCACCCCTCTCCAGGCTTCAGTTTTCCCATCAGTCAAAACCAGGAGAAGGCAAGTGATTTCTAAGTCTCTCCCCCTCCCTTCTAGGAATTTGGACAACGGGTCGGGGGGCCAAGCTGGGGCCGACGTCCCGGTCTTGGGGTGGAAACTTCGCTCCCTCGCTGGTTGCCGGATCTGAGGCAGGGTCCGTGCTCTCTGCGGGACTCAGTTTCCCCAGCCTCCCCGCGGGCGCCGGGACGCCCAGGGCCCGGGTCCCAGGGGCGCAGCCCCCCGCGGCTGCGCGCTGGGCCGGGCGGATGACATCACCGGGCCGGGGGCGGGGAGGGAGCGGGAGGGAGCGGGACGGAGGGGAGGGCCTCCTCCGCGCCAGGCGCAGCGCCCGGTCGGGCTCGGTCGGGCGACCGCGGCCATGACGCAGGGTCCGGGCGGGCGCACGCCCCCCGCGCCCCCCGCGCCCCCGGAGCCCGAGGCGCCCACCACCTTTTGCGCTCTGCTGCCGCGCATGCCGCAATGGAAGTTCGCTGCCCCGGCGGGCTTCCTGGGCCGGGGCCCCGCGGCAGCTCGGGCGGCCGGGGGCGCGGGGGCCGCCGACGCCCAGCCCGAGACCCCCGGCCCGGCTGGCGTCCCGGCGCTGGCGGCCGCGGTCCTGGGCGCCTGCGAGCCGCGCTGCGCCGCGCCCTGTCCGCTGCCGGCGCTCAGCCGCTGCCGAGCCGCGGGGGCCCGCGGCCCGCGGGGCGCGCGGGGGGTGGCCGGGCCCCCGGACGCCAGCGCCGACGAGTGGATCCGCAAAGGCAGCTTCATCCACAAGCCGGCACACGGCTGGCTGCACCCAGACGCCAGGGTCCTGGGGCCCGGGGTCTCCTACATCGTGCGGGTGAGTGCGTCGGCCGGGATCCCGCGGATCGCGCCTTCCCGGAGCCCCAGCTTGGGGCTCCCCTCCCCTCCCTTCGTTCTCTTGGACGCCCGGACCCCGAGAGCCAGGTCTCTCTTCCCCATCGTCCCTCCTCTCCCTACCACCCTGGACCCCCATCTCCAGGCGGCTCTGCGCTGGCCGCCCCCATCCGGAGGCTCCGGGGTCAGTGTTCCCACGGCGTCACGTGGGGAGGGGCGGGGAGAGGGAGGCAGGTGGGTGGGGGACGCGCATGCGCAGGGTAAACGCGCTCCGGTTCCGTGGGTGGGGAGACTGCGGAGTGAGGACAGGGGTGGGCGCGTCCTCCCGCCGGACCCCCCCTCGGACGACAGAACGGGAGCCTGCAGAGACCTTGGCCCAGGTGGGGGGCCCGGGGAAGGGGTCTCCGGACGGGGGCCGCGCCCAGACCGACCGCAGGATTGATGTGAGACTGGGGGGCTCGGGATGTGGCGCAAGGAAAGGGGCCTTCTTTTCTCCTGGTGCTTTACTGGGAACCTTTCAAACGCACGGAAGAGCGCCTGCCTGCCTGCCTGCGCCCGCGCCCGTTAGCGCTTTTACCTTCTCTGCTCAAAACCCCTACTTGGCGTGTAGTTTTCGATGAACCTGAAGGAAATACGCGGCCGAGTGTGACGCTTGCTGTGAAATGTCCCGCACGCGTCTCCGGAGAGAGCTTCCTCCTGCACACCCGCAGCTCACTGTTACCTCTGGGAAGTTACCAGACACTCCGAAGTGTCCTCAAGCGTCTGGCTGTCGGTCACACCCCTCAGTTGGCTGGGAGTTAATGTGATTGTATTTGGTTATCTGTCCATTCCCTTTAGAACCATCTCCAGCATCTCTTCCAGGACTGGGACTTCCAGGGCTGGGTTGAGTAGTGTCTCCCCATAAATTCACGTCCATGGGAACCTGCGAATGCAGCCTTATTTAGGAACAGAGTCTTTGTAGAAGCAATCAAGTTAGCACGAGTTCATCCTGGAGTAGGGCGGCCCTAACTTAGTGGCTGGTGTGTGTATACGGAGAGAGAAGCCACGGAGGACGGAGGCAGAGGCTGGAGTGACGCAGCCACAGTCCTGGGGGCGCCAAAGGGAGCCGAGGAGGCAGGAAGGACCCTCCCCTGGAGCCTGGGGACAGATGCGGCCCTGCCTCCAGCTTGCTTTCAGACTTGTGGGCTTCCAGAACTGGGAGCGTGTAGGCTTCTGTTGTCTTGAGCTGCCCAGCGTGTGGTTCTTAGTCAGGGTGGGCCCCGGGAGAGGACCGTGCCCCTGACAGCGTGGTCGGTTTGAACCTCCCGGCCACTCCCTCCCCGTGTGGTCCAGGCCTGCGGCGTCCCGTCACAGGGGCCTATTAGATGGGTAGAGCCTCAGGCCCACAGTGGACTTGTCGAGGCTGTAGACTGCCCCACATTCTGGGTCTGTCTCTTTTCTCACGGGGCCTTTTAACTCGGTTCCTTGCCCTTTCTCTTCCGGAGTCCTGGCAGTGGGTCCAGAGGCTTGACTGTACTCAGAACTGGCTTCATAGCAAGTGTCTCATGGGTTGTGCTGGGGACTTGGGGTTTGGAGTGCTCAGAACTCAGATGCTAGCGTCGTGGGGTGCGGGGCGTTGGGCCATCCCAATGATCATAAATGTTTGTCAGCGCAGCACATATTTAATGCATGCCATCCTGCCAGGCCCTGACCATCTGGTAGGAAATGAGAAAGATCTGGTCCCTGCTCTTACAGGGCTTAGATTCTAGAGGGAGACACAGACAACAGGTAACTAAGAGAACACAAATGGCAGGTGCAGGCAGGTGGTGCTAAATTACAATGCAGGAATTAAAGTGATATCAGGTGAGGGGCTGGGTGGTCACCTCAGCTGGGGCAGTAAGGGGACGGCATCTCTCAGCAGATGACATTTAAACTGAGACCTGAGCCCATGAGGCCCCAGACATGAAGTGACTTGGGAAACAGAGCTCCAGGCTGGGGCACAGCAAGTGCAAAGGCCCAGTGGCTGGGAATGAGTTTGACATGTTTGGGGAATAGCAGGAGATCCACATGGAGCTTTTGGAGAGAAGGAGAGGAATAAGAGATTTGCTGGCAAGCTCGGCTCTAGATAGTTTTAAGCAGGGGTCACAGGGTGGAGTTTGGCGTTTTGAAAGGGCCTTTCTGGTGGCCTATGGAAATGGGGTGGGAGTGGGGGCTGAGAGGGCAGCAGAGAGACCCAGGAGGGGGCAAGGAGAGAAGACCTGGAGCAGGGCAACCTGAGGGTGGAGAGAAGTGGGGACAGCGTCTGTGCTGGAGATGGAGCCCAGAGGAGTCTCTGACTGACGGACGAAGGGCTCTGACTGGCTGGTCGGAGGCCCCTGTGGGGTCTGAACCAGCCGCATCCTCCGCTCTGTTTGCCTGGGAGCCTCTCCACCCGCGCCTACATCACAGAGCCAGGCAGCGCCTCGTTGGTTTACAGAGTGGCCTGAGGTTAAGGCAGGGAGCAGGCATCCCTCAGGTCACACCGGGACTCCTTCACACTAGGACCCTGCGACTCCAGAAGAGGATGCATTGTTCCCACCTATGTAAGTTGGGAAACTGAGGCACAGAGAGGCAGAGTGTGTCCGCAGATGCGGAGTGAAAGTGCACTACCAGACCAGGAACTAAGGTCTCTCCTTCAGAGCTGGGACTCCCCGCCGTCCGTCAAGTTCTAGGGCGGGGACAGATCGACAACCCAGAGACGGCCCTCCTGGTCCCAGGGCCTGCGAATGTGTCCTCTCACGGCAGACGGGACCTTGTCAAGGTCCCTGAGGCAGGGGTGACCCCGGGTTCCCGGGGTCCCAGCGTCCTCACGAGGCCCTCAGGAGAGGGAGGCAGAGGGTAGAGGGTCAGAGGCAGAGAGGCGGGCGGACCCCGCGCTGCTGAGCCTGAGGATGGAGGAGGGGCCGCGGGCTGAGGATGTGGAGCCTCTGGAAGCGGGAAAAGTGGGGAGACGGGGCTCCCTGGGGCCCCGGGCGACCCGGCCCTACCCACGCCCGGGGGCTCAGCCAGGAGGCCCGTGTCAGACTCCTGAGTCCAGAACTGTAAGGGAATAAATTTATGTTAAATTTGTGGTAACTAAGTGGCAGCAAGAAGAAGCTGGTATGTCAGCTGGCTCACCTCCCTGACCTTACAGAACCGTCACAAAACCCAGGAATGATCCCTACTTGAGACGAGACGACGGAGCCCTGGAGAGCAGAGATGCGGACGTGGCCTCTGAGTTCACCATGTTCAAGGCTGCACGTTGATCAGGGGGATTATCCTCCCAGCTCTGAGGTTTCCCACCTATTTCATAGATCAGGAAACTGAGGGGCGCCTGGGTGGTTCAGTCAGTTAAGCGTCCGACTTCGGCTCAGGTCATGATCTCACGGTTTGTGGGTTTGAGCCCCGCGTCGGGCTCTGTGCTGACAGCTCAGAGCCTGGAGCTGCTTCGGATTCTGTGTCTCCCTCTCTCTCTGACCCTCCCCTGCTCACACTGTCTCTCTCTTTCTCTCTCAGAAATAAATAAACATTGAAAAAAAAAAAAAAGGAAACTGAGGTACATGGTGAAGTCCAGGAGCCTGCTGGGAGCACTGTCCTGGTGAGGGTCCCAGTGGCTGCGATGCCTTTGGCTGTGTCACCACCTCCTGACTCAGGGCTTAGAGGTAAAGATGTCGAGAGAGGAGACCCCGGGTGGGCAGCTCTGTGCCTCAGCAGCTTGGCGACCTCATCGTGGGTCCAAGCTCTTCTCAGTGTGTTGGGGTGAATAGTGTCCCCCAAGTTCACGTCCACCTGGTACCTCAGAACGTGGTCTTATTTTGAGGAGGGTCTTTGCAGATGCAGTGGCATGAGGGTGAGGCCAGGCTGGAGTCGGATGGGCCCTGAGTCGGTGACCAGAGTCCTCGTAAGCCGTGTGAGGGCAGGAGCAGGAGGCCACGCAGAGGGAGGTGGAGATTGCAGTGACCCGTCTACACCAGGAGCTGCGCGGGCAGGCGAGGCCTCGCTGGAGCTCCCGAGGGAAGCCGTCTGCGGCACCTGGATGTCAGGCCTCCGGTCTCCAGGCTGTGAGGGAACATGCTTCGCGCTGCCGAGTTTGTGGTGCCCGGTGACAGCCGCCCCGGGAGGCCAGTACACCACCCTCGACGTGACTTCCCTCTCGGGTCAGCTCCTCTCCTGGCTGCAAAATAGTGGCTCTGGCTCCGCCCGTCCCATCAGCCTGCAGAAAAGACCCTTTTCCAGTGGGGCCCTTTTGTGAATAAGGGAACCATTCCCAGCAATCCCAGTCAGCTTCCCCTCATGTCTCATTGGCTGTCCTGTGACTTTCCCTAAACCCAGATCATCGCTGCCCAAAGAACTTCCTGAGACAATAGAATGTTCTAGATCTGTGCTGTCCCATATGGTAGCCCCATGTGGCCACTGAGCCCTTTAAATGTGGCTACTGTGACTAGCAGACTAAACTTTAATTCCACTTAACTTTAAATTCGAGTGGCCCTCTGAGGCACGTGCTTACTGTGCTGGGCAGCTCGGCTCTAGTTTCCTTTGATCTTTGGACCATCTGAAGGGGTAGATGTCTGAGCAGTATTTGGTGGTTAAGGAAGAAGTGAACCTGCTCTGCGGACAAGCCGGAATTTGCACCGACTCCGGGGACCACCAATCTTCCCGAAGTGTGGTTCTCAAATGCTGGCAATATACAAGGAACTGTGGGAAGCTGGCTGAGTAGAGATGTTCCTTAGCTGCAAATGTAGCTTATTCCTTGGAGGAGAGGACAGAACGTCTTCAGGATGGATTAATTCAGTGGCTTGACAACATCCCTAAAGACCTAGGTCCTTCCATCTCTTTGCACTGCCATCTTCAGCATGCTGGCTTAGCTACCATACTGGAAAGCGAAACACAGAATCACCATGAGACCCAGCAATCCCACTTCCGGGAGCGCATCCCGAACAACTCAGACCAGGGACTCAAACAGGCGTTTGCACACCCACATTCACA